GCAGCCGCCAGCCAGCGCTCGTGTGCGCAGCGCTTGGCAGGCTGCCGGCCAAGCCAGCCCGATTGCCCGGTTCAGCGGACCGGCAGTCTGGTCCAGACCGGTGCAGACCGGCTGGACCGGTTCAGTCAGTTATTGTCAGTTTCAGTCCCGGTTTCAGGTTCAGTGTTATTTTCAGTTAAAATTCCAGGTCAAGCTCAGTTCAGTTAATTAATGTTAGTTCAGTTTCGTACTTAGCCGGTTTCAGTTATACCAAATAAATCCGAATATCATGTCAGGTTCAGTAGATCATCTTAACATAATTAAAAAGTGAAATTATCATTCTAAGCATAGTCAATAGTAATTGTTTATATTATTTTCAGTTTGATCAGGCATCAGCACTACCGTTCAGTTTCAGCAGTTCAGGTGGGGACTCAGACTAAGTACTACATTGTTTATAATTACGCTACCATGTTCGAGGTATGTATATTCAGTATCCGCTCGGAATGGTCGCCAGTCCATTCTTGGTTCTAGTGGCCTAATCTAACCACTAGAGTGTGCACATGGTCCGGTATTAGTTTGTGCCGGGAGATTGCGGTATTAGTTTGTGCCGACAGATTTCAGTTATCAGTTACGTGACTTATGTCGCGAGATCAGACCGGTATCAGATATCAGTTCAGTTCAGTTCAGTTATATATGCTTAGTTCATAATATTGTTATTATTTACAATGTTTACATTAGTATGAGTTTCTGCGGAGCACAAGTGTTTTAATGCTCACGCCCCCACGTATTTCATGTTTTTCTGGTCGCAAGGTCGGAGACGGGGAGTGAGCGGGCGTGCTGTTCAGGACATTTGTGACTATATGTATATATATGTTTTGCCACGCTATGTTCCGCTAAACTTTCAGTACTTATATTCAGTTTTTGTTCCGACATTAGTCGGATAAGACATTAAAACCATTTTTATTTATCAGTTTAAAAATTTTAACGGTTTTCAGAAAAATCAAGTTTTTCACGGTAACATCCCGAATCAGTTTTTGCAAAATAAGTATTTTATTTTATATATTCAGAATATTGTGAAAAATTGCGTACTCTGATAAGTTAAAAGTCGGGGTGTTTCAAACAGTAAACTCAAATAATCCATCTAGTTCAACTGGGCAAATTCCAGACACCCCTACACCTATAAATGCCATGAAGAGTTTACAGGAAACATGCCCACAAGACACAGTTGACTCAACCTCAGAGGTCCCTGAACTTCTTCCATCAACACAATTGGTATTATCTGAACAGGCTACTTCTAAACAACAGCACTCCATGGAGATAGTCACCTCTGTTGTTCCTATTCAAGAGAAAGACAAACTAATGGAGATTGAGTTCACTCTCCCTTCCATTTCAAACATGATTTCTCAGAAGATTACATCAATGCAGAAAGGGAAAACAGTGACTAGAATGAGCTCCTGGAAAAGGTCTGCTACTAAGGAGGGAAGGCTGTAGAGACAAATGATTCTAAGCCCCTCCCCTGAGCAATCCTCAGGATCAAAAAGAGCCAGAGATGATCTTAACTCTTTGGAAGTTGAGGACACAGAACAATCTGGGAAAAAGAATAAAGGCTCAAACAACAAGGTGAGGGATGCCAGTCTAGAATGGCACCCAACCCATCAATGCTAGCTGCGGTGTGGAATTGTAGAGGGCTGGGTGGGCCCTCTACTATTTCCCAAATAAAAGAGTCTTTTAGGACTCACCACCCAAGGTTTTTCTTTCTCTCTGAAACTAAAAATAATGGTGCTTATGTTAAATCTATTAGTAGGAAGTTGGGATTTGCAGACAGACACTATATTGTAGATCCAGAGGGCAAAGTGGAGGACTTCTATTGCTTTGGCACCAAGAGGTGGATATCATCAATGTGGTAGCAAAGGAATTCTACATTGTAGTCAACTACTCTCTGAATAATGAAGAACAAGGTTGGGGTGTGTTTGTTTATATGAGTGCTGATAGAAGAACCAGGGAAGCTCAGTGGATGATTTTGGAAGAAGACAAACACTCTTGGGGTGAAGTGTGGTTTACTATAGGAGATTGGAACTCTATATGTGCCAAGAAAGAAAAGAAAGGGGGCAGACCTAGACAACATAGAAGTTTTGATGGCTTCAACAATTTCATCTCCAACATGGAAATGGAAGGCATGGAAGGATATCAGTTTACATGGGGTAACAACAGAGATGTTGAGGGTTATGTTGAAGAGAAGCTTGACAGAGCTTTTGCTTCTTATGAATGGCACAGTTCTCACCCTAATGCCAAAGTGCTAAATGTGATCAGAACAGCCTCAGATCAGTCTTTCCTTATTCTTAATGCTGGTTCTCAAGATCCTCGGTGCAAGAGGAGGTTTGCCTTTGATAGAAGATGGGCTTCAAAAGAAGGATTTGTAGATGTGGTGCAAACTGCTTGGGCCATACCACAGACTAGTACACCTTTCTTTAGGCTCAAAGAAAAAGTGAAGCAGACAAAAATTGCTCTTCTCATATGGAGCTCAAAATTCAAGTCCCAGAACCAAGACAAGATTGTTGTTCTTTCCAATAAGCTTGAGGAAATCAGAGAAGCTGGTAAAGCAGACAAGTGGGAGGAATGGGATTCAGTAACTAAAGATCTTAATGCTGCTCATGCCTATGAAGAAAAATACTGGGCTCAGAAAGCTAGAGTACAGTGGTTAAAGGAGGGTGACTCCAACACCAAATTTTTCCATGCTTATTCCATGTCCAGAAGAAGACAGAATGCTATCTCAAGACTAGTCACTGATGCCAATAGAGTCTGCTCTTCAAGGAGGGATATTGAAAATCACATCACCACTTACTATTCATCATTGTTCTCTTCAGAAGGCTCTTGGGGGGAGAATCCATGTTACACCTTATTCCTCAAACAATCTCTGCAGAGATGAACCAGGATCTTCTTAAACCGATTGAAGATGATAATATCAAGGCAGCTTTGTTCAGTCTTCACCCTGACAAATCCCCATGGGAGGATGGCATGACAGCCTACTTTTACCAGCACTTCTGGAATCTAATTCAAGGGGATCTCATTGAAGCTGTTCAAAGTTTCTTCAATTCTGGTATGCTTTTACAGTACTAGAACCATACTATAATCTCTCTAGTGCCTAAATGCAATGCTTCTTCATATCTTAATCAGTACAAGCCTATTTCTCTATGTACTGTGGTTTATAAAGTCTATCCAAACTGTTGGCCTCTAGACTCAAATGCTGCTTGTCTGCCTGTATTAGTCCAAGCCAATCTGCCTTTATTCAGGACAGACAACTACTAGACAATGTGATATTGGCACAAGAAGTCTTTCATTTCCTCAACAGACATAGGTCAGGTAAGAACTTCTTCATGGCTTTAAAGTTGGACCTTATGAAGGCCTTTGATAGGGTTGAGTGGATCTGCATTGAAAAAATTATGATCAGAATGGGCTTTAGTTTGGAGTTGGTCAAGCTTATCATGGTATGCATCACTTCCACCTCCCTGTCTATTATTGTGAATGGCTCTTTGACTGGTGCTATCTTCCCATCTAGAGGAATCAGGCAGGGGGATCCTTTATCCCCCTTTATATTCATTATTGTCACCGATTTACTCACTGCTCTTATCTCTGACTCTTTGACAAGAGGAGCTCTTACTGGGATTAAATTATCACAGAATGGACCAGCATTATCTCACCTACTCTTTGCAGATGATGCCTTGTTCTTTTGCAAGGCTGAAATTAGTCAAGCTCAGGAGTTGATGAATTTGTCAGAGAGGTACAGGTTATTCACAGGTCAAAGAGTGAACATCCAAAACAGGTTTGATTGCAGTTATTTCCCGAGTGGATCATCTGCATTCTTTAGCAAAAACACCTCTCTAACTGCTCAGTATCAAGTTTGTGCTATTATGGCTGGTATTCAACTTCATTCTTCAACCAGATACTTGACCCTCCCCATGGGGATTGGCAGATCAAAATCAGAAGTTTTCTCTTATGTCTTAGACTCAGTGAAAGCAAAGCTTTGGAGTTGGAAGAATAAGATGATTTTAGTAGCAGGTAAGGAGGTGTTAATTAAGGCTGTCATCAATGCCTTACCAGTGTTTACTATGTCCTGCTTTAAACTCCCAGCTTCTGTCTATAAATACATTTCTAGATTCAGTGCAAATTACTAGTGGAGTAAAGGGGATACTCAAGAGGCTGGGCTTCACTGGAAGGCATGGCATCTTCTCTCAATTCCAAAAGCAGATGGAGGCATAGGTTTCAAGGACATCAACTCTTTCAATAAGGCACTTATCTACAAACAGCTATGGAGGGTGGTGTCTCAACCTAATTTTCTTGTAAGCCAGGTTCTCAAGAACAGATACTTTCCAAATTGCTCTATTTTTTATGTTTCTAAAACTCAAAATGGCTCCTGGATCTGGAACTCATGGTTAGATTGTCTGCCTATTCTTGCTCAAGGATTTAGAACTGAAATCAATGATGGGGCATCAACAAGAATCAATGACATTAACTGGATTCCAAGCCTTCCCCTAACCAAGCCATCTCTTCTGAGTATTGCACAAGGCCACATCACATGGGTTAAGGAACTGATACAGGATAATGGACTCAGATGGAACTCATGGTTGGTGAGCCAACTCTTCGGTGAAGCTGACTGCAGAGCAATTCTTGACATCCATTCATTGAATCCAACTAAAAAGGATAGGATCTTCTGGTGCTTAGAAAAGAAGGGTCATTTCTCTGTCTCTTAAACATATGATTTCTTGATCAAACAGAAAATTCTTCACTTTGATATTCCAGGTAGCAGCAGGAATCTCTCTTGCATCAAAAAAGCAAGGATCAGGACTTGGAATTTAAAAATCAAGGGAACAATCAAGCACTTTATCTGGAAATGTGTGACTGGCACTCTTCCGATGAAGCCCAAAAGGGAATTGACATTGATGTTATCTGCAGTGGTTGTGGTAATGCTCCAGAGACTATAGAACACATTTTCTTCCATTGTTCTAGAGCACAACTGATGTGGAAGTTAAGTCCAGTGAAGTGGGAAGAAGTTAACTCAGAAGGGGGTCTTTTTAGATCATGGTGGTGGCACTTATGCTCTGTCTACAAGACTAAGGTAGCTGAGGAGAGGATCCAGCTCACAAAGTACCTGCTGTGGTGGTTGTGGAAATCCAGGAACCTCTGGATTCTTGAAGATATCAAATTGCCAATCCATGTGGTGGTCAGCAAAGCTCACCTTTCCTGGATGGAGTACAGTGACTTGAAGAATTTACAGTCTTAGTAGGTTTTGTGTGGTCCTTGGTTGTTTTTCTGGCTTTTGTGTTCCTTGCTGTTAGTTTTGAGTTCTTTTTCAGTTCTGCTTCTTTTTTTGGATTCTGGAGTTGGATAGTGGGATAGGCTTTGAGCAGTGGTTTGTTATTTTTCCTTTAGTCAGTTGTCGAGTTGTCTCTAGGCCACCTTAGGGTGTGTCCTCTCATTTTAGTCTTCTTTTCTAGGTGTATTGGGCAGTTTGCCTCGATTTGTATTCGAACGGTGTTCATTTTGATTATATATAATTCCTCTATCGTTCCGAAAAAAAAAAAGATGTAGTCTAATTAATATAATAAGTTGTGTATTTGTTTTTTTTCTTTTCATCGTTAATCGAATCGCTCGAGAATTCTTGTTGTCGCGTGGTATTTTATTTCAGCTCGATTAAATTGATTCCGACTCAATTTAAATTATTCCTGGCCCAACTCAATTTAAATTATTCCTGGCCCAACTGAGATTTATTCCCAGTCTTTATGATTAATTCCTTGGTTTTGAGTTAAACCAGCCCAAGTGTAGAGTCTTTTATTAGGCTCAATAGGAACTAAAAATCTCAACCCTTTTCTATTCTTTTTATTCACGTGATGATGGACAGATTCTTCCTCTTTCTTCGATCAAATCGACGTTGCGATATTCCTGTAGAGTTACCCTGCACGTTGCTCGATCTACTCCCTCTCGCTCCATTATATCTTGACCAAGGAGATAGTTCAACATAAAAAATCATTCTATCTTCTTCTTTTGCATTACCAACAAAGAAAATCTCATACTCCCTCAAAAACAGTTTCCTGAACGTCAGCTCAAACACAAATTATTATCGAACAATTCAGAATTTACATCAAAACTTTCAAACCAAATAAAATCTTGGCCATTCTGATGAGTTGAATAGAAAAGAACGTTTGTTCAAAACCGTGTGTTAGGATTCGTGAGAGTTCGATCATGCAATCGAATTAGTGAGGCTAAGACCCGAGCTAGTTCAAAATCGAGGGAGCAAGGCTAACGACCGAGTGAACTCAAGTAACGTGAGAGAGTTATACTAATAACCGAGTCGATCACACCTATCCGTTAGGAGCGAGTCGTGGCGAGGCTGTGTTCGAGGCAAGTGAGTGGAACCGAAACACACGATCCTTCATCATTGGTGCTCTCGTTGAGAGTGATTGATTGTGTGTTTTGTTAAACTTTTACTATCCCATTCTTTTTTTCTTTTTGTTCGATTTTTCTTTATTTTTCGTGAGTGTGGAGTGAGAAAAAAAAGGTGTCATCCTAGTTTGTCTTGATTTTAATTCTTTTAGAGTCTTTAAAAAAAGAGAGAGTCATGATGTTTATACGATTAGATGAGTTGGATTGGGAAGATATCGAGTTTTTTGAAGGATTGGAAAGAGAGTTAACTCCATGGGAGCAAAAATATTTGGAGGAGTTGCACGAGTGAAGAGATCTCGAGGAGAAGCTCGAACGACAACTCAACATCATGGAGCCCATATTGGCGTTAAATCTACCAAGCTATGTTGAAGATAAGGTCACCGAGTTCATGGTCGTGCGAGTCGGGTGCGAGGATTCACCTTCGTTCAGTGTTGTGTCCATGGACGTTTGGGAGCCCGAGGTAGCCGAGGTCAAGGAAGTGATCTTAATCGTGGGTGATGGAGGCCATGATGACGAGACGCACAAGGAGGGTAGTGCGGATGAAGAGGTGTTCGAAGTCGAGGGCAAGGTCGTGGTCGAGATTAACGAGGACCGTGAGTAGGATGCGCACGTGGTCGAAGAAGAGGTGCCCGAGGTTTGGATGGTCGAGGAAGAGTCCTTGAGGGCAAGGACATTCTCAAAGGGGGCGGGAATGATGCGGAAGTGGGTTTCGAGCCCCGACGGCGAGAAGGTCCAAGAGCCAAGACGACCCGAAGAAGCTCAAAATAAGGCCAAAACGGCGCATACATGGCCTAAACGACTGGTACGAGCTCGTATGCGGGGCACTCAAGCACATGAGAAGGTGGCCTCGAGGCTAGGAAGGCTCATACGCAAGAAAGGGCGCATTAAGCAAGGACGCGCCCACGTGTACTGGCATAGACGAGCACGGATGAGGCCACGACTCAAAAAGATGTGCAATCAATCGTTTCGGGATGCTTATCGAATAAGTGAAACCTGGTGGGGGTGGCTAAAATACCAGGTGGCCCGAAGGAATGGAAGGCATGCTAGTCGGGTGCCCAACGGGCACTATGCACGCACATGGGCGCGCAGCACGCGCGTAGGTGCTTAGTGGTGCACGGGTGATACGGAAGTGGGTTTTGAGCCTTGAAGATGAGAAGGTCCGAAGGCCGATACTATACGAGAAGGCCAAGCAAAGGGCCAGAACAAGGCTTGCATGGCCTAGGAAACGTGCACGAGCTCGTATACGAGGGTGCCGACGTGCACAATGGCTTAGGAGGTCGAGCAAGAAGCTCAAGAGTTTGAGGCTGGAAGGCTCGAGTGACGCGGCCGAATGGCGCATGGTGTGTGCGAGGAAGCGACGCGCACGACGCTTGGAGGCTAAGGTCTCGGGCGTTTACATTGCGAAGGAGATGAGCGGTGCGCGAGGGGTGGATGTTGGGTGGACAGCGC